GGGCAGAGGACTGGGTGTTGGGGGCGACTCGAGGTCAGGGCAGAGGGCTGGAGGGGTGTGAGGGTGCAGGGCAGAGGACTGGGTGTTGGGGGCGACTCGAGGTCAGGGCAGAGGGCTAGAGGGTGTGGAGGGTGCAGGGCAGAAGGCTGGGTGTTGGGGGCGGACTCGAGGTCAGGGCAGAGAGCTGGAGGGGTGTGAGGGTGCAGGGCAGAGGACTGGGTGTTGGGGGCGACTCGAGGTCAGGGCAGAGGGCTAGGGGATGTGGGGGGTTCAGGGCAGAGGGATGGGTGTGTGTTGGGGTGGGGGGGGTGCAGGGCAGAAGGCTGGGGTGCTCGGATCGTGGGGGTGCTCCCAGCCCCCTGCACTGAGCGGCTCAGGGTAGGAGGCTGGGAGGGATATGCCCTGTTCCACCCCCTTCCCCCAGGCTCTGTCCCTACCTCTTTCTGCCTGCTCTACGCTGCTCGGCTCTGCTCCGCTCTCCCTCCCCCTCGCAAGGGCCATCCAGGGAGAAGGAGGGGCTGGAATGCACCACGCTGGGGGAAGAAGCGGGGGAGGGGGGAAGCTTGGCTGCCGCAGGACCAAGCCTCTGCCTCCCGCCCCCGCAGGGGAGAGCGGTGGGGGCTGTGCACGGCGGGGGGCTGGGACCTCCCCCCTCTCTGCCCTGTGGAGGCAGAAGCTTGGTCCTGCGGCAGCCAAGCTTCCTCCCTCCCCCGCTTCTTCCCCCAGCGTGGTGCTTTCCGGCCACTCCGCCCCGCCTTCTCCTCCTCTCAGTGGGCAGGCAGCATGCCGCTCAAAATCGGCTCGCGTGCCGTAGGTTGCCGACCCCTGCTGTAAAGCAATAACGCAAACTCGGACCCTCCAGCCCTGCAGGGTCCTAGGACCCTGGGTCCAAGCCCTGTGTTAGTTCAATTGAAGTATAGACACAAGGGGCTTATGCTGAAGTGTAAACATATCCCATAAGTACTTCATGTTAAAATAGGATTTGTAAAATTTGTTCAAAAACTAGATTTCTGTTAAACACCTGTTTTAGATCAGGGACAGCCTATTAAAAACAACAACTCTATTTTATTGAAACCTGCAGTTTCACCTTGGTATGTTTTTCTGCTTCAGTCAGAGGCCGAATTTTGTAAGAAGGAGTAATATCTTTGAATAGTTCCATCAGAGAAACCATCACCAGCTTCCGAACAATCACAGCCACATTGGGGTCTTGTTCCATTAGCATGGCACGCAACTCTTTCAGCTTCTTTATCTGTTCAAGAAAACATGGTGCAGGATAAATAAAGGTTATATACAAAATAACACCAATTCATGGAGAGTCCAACTACTGGTGGGTATGGGTAATATCAAACACAGTCATGCAGATTTCCTTTGTCTGCAGAACAACTGCCAACAACCATGGCCCCCCTTTACTGTCCTGTCTCTGCTGATTTTGGCCTCTCCATGGATGCATAACATGTTGCATACTTTGCCATTCCTTGATTACTTCAGATTTTTGTAATTAATTGATTTACTGTACCACACACAAAAATTAACACTACTCACGCTGTTTTCTGGGTCAGACAGAATGGCAGCTGCTAAGGCCGCAATGTGTATCTTCTTCTCCTGCAGCTTCCTTCTCCTTTGAATTAGCAGTTCATCTGTAGTGAGCACCGGCTGGGGTTCTTCACTAGATTCTAATATAATAAAGTTTATTAGTTAACTCCAATTCTATTCATTTTATTTCAAATTGTTACTTAGCAGATACAATACCATAATGTTAAGTTCAGCAGTATAGGACTCAAAAGCAGCCCAAGAGGTTTTTCAGGGCCATGTGATAACTTATGCAGATTACAAGACCCACTTCACCTCTTCCAACCCAAAATAAACAAACCAAGGAATGATGTCAAACTTGGTAGGTTAGGTATGGGGTTGAGATACAATTTTTCTGTTAAATTTCAAGTGAATTGGACAAGGGCATTTTGAATTGCAGTACCTTAAGAAATTGAAGTGTTCGCAAGATTAAATAAATAAAAAAGGACAGTGATAAAACATAGCTGTACAGACTCTCATCAACCTGAGCTCTCATGCACTGAACCAAAGACTAATTAATAAAATCAATTTTAAAAGTGATTATGATTTTAATTAACAACAACCAAATGGCTTGTTGGCGCCAATGAACTTAAAAAGGATGACAACAACTGGAGATCTGAACTTTCATTTAATTTTTTTTTTTTAATTACCTCAAAGTGTAAACCCATCACTATGGTGGCTTCTCAATAGAAAAAGGAAACAGTTTCCAACAAAACTGAAGACAGGTTGTTTCTAAATTAAAGTTTTTAATAACAAAAAAGGTGTTCTCAACCGTAAAACTTCTAATGCTTTTTTTTTGGGCTGAATTTTGTAACCTGAAAACCAAGAGTAGGAGACATTAAAAATTAAGATTATTCGAGCCAGCTATTTTAATAGGGGCAAAAGGGGTGGTGCCTCCCTGCTCCCCCTCACCCTAGCCCCACAAGCATACACCAGTGGACTTTTTAAGGTGCTCACTTCCAATGGATCCAAGGGCTTGCAAGGTGTGTGCGTGTGGGTGTGTATATGGAGGGGAGATATGTAGGCTGAGGAGACTATAGAGCTTGTGGGACTGAGAGAACGGGGTCATGAAGGGTATCAGTAGAGCAAGCTGGGTGATCTGATGGCAGAGAAGAAAAGAACAGAAGAGTGAACGAAAGTGGAGAAGGGGAACAGCAGAACAGGGTACATTCCACACATCCTTGTAAACATTAAGAGTCTCAGCATTACCCCCTCTCCCACTCAGCTCTGGCAAGGCTAAACAGGCCCAATCAGTATCTGTAGAACTTAAAATGTTGTTGCCCTCTGAACCCTTGCAACTTTAGTAGGCTCATTGGGAGCCCATCCTAATTTCCACAAGGCTTACCAGAGTAGCCAGGGTCCCTCACAACCACCCACTAGGAGATCCAATTAGACTCAGCAGCATAACGCATAAATAGTGTCACCAACCTCCCAACTCCATTTAGGTTTTTAGGCAGCCAATGAGTCAATTTTAGGTAGTCAGGTAGCACCTAAGGCTTGTTGAGGGGACTGGGGGTGGCTTGGCCTGGCCCAGTCTTGCAGTATGGTGGGAGTTTGGGCCTCCTTCACCTGGGGGCCCCCCACACAAGCCTCCTATCACTTGAGTGGAGGTGTTGGAAGGCAACTTCAAAATGAATTTTCTAATGTTCATCAGGAGGCTGCTGCACTTAGGATTTCTATTACTGTGCATCTCCAAACAGTGTGGGCCCCAGGAAATCCACAGGAAGAGAAGGAGGAATGCTTCCTGGTGTGCTGCCCCCTACAATCCTCCTACTCTACCTACTTCTCCCTAGGAAGGGATACCCTTAGAAGGTGTACAGGAAAGGGTATGTCTGCACATCAAGTGGGGTATAATTCTCAGTTGAAGAAGGCTTATTTGTGTTAGTTCTAACTGAGCTGGCATGCTAAAAATAGAGTGCAGTTGTGGCAGCACGAGTGGCAGGAGGGGCTCAGTACCCGAGTACATGCCTGTCCAAGACACTATGTAAGTACTTGGGATGGCTAGCCTCTCCCACCGCCCTGGCTACACTCTATTTTTAGCATGCCAGCTCGATCCAAGCTAACATGGGTATGTCTCCTCAAGCCAGAAGTTATACTCCCAGGCTGATAGGCAGACACACACTAAACTACAGGCAATGCAGAATTTTCAAAATGCCTTTAAAAACGTAAGATACCTACAAAATGTATACATACAGTTTGGCAGTTGGTAAGACACAATACTCCCCCAGCTGAGTTTCTAACTCTTGTAAAAAGGAGCAGAGCGTATGTCTGCTTTGAATTGAAAGCGGTTTTCTCTATGTATACCGTAACATACAAACCCAATGCATAAACCAAATATTGGCAGTTTGACTGGAGAGAGAATTTGCAACAGAGTACTTTGATGTAAATTTATCACAACCTAATTCATACTACACCTCTATCTCGATATAACGCTGTCCTCAGGAGCCAAAAAAATCTTAGCGCGTTATAGGTGAAAGCGCGTTATCTCGAACTTGCTTTGATCCACCGGAGTGCGCAGCTCCGTCCCCTCTCCTCCCCCCGCCCCCGGAGCACTGCTTTATCGCGTTATATCCAAATTTGTGTTATATCAGGGTTTACAACCACTTTACTTGCATTTCCTGATGACTGTTTAATTTACTCAAATGTGTGTTTTGGCTTTTGCTGCCCTGACTAAAACTGGCCAAAAAACTCAGGATTTCTGGTTCGCAGGAAATTTTGATATTTCGAAATCTGGTTTTGTTCTGATGTCAACAAATTGCCATTTTCCCAATCAGCTCTAGACACGACTAAGACAGAGTTAGGGCTGTTCTTATCATTTGAGTGAGACTCTATGGCTTACTGTGGAAGTGCAAACTGAATTCCAAGTTTTCTGGGTTTCTCACATTTGATTGTTCAAGCTAAAAAAAAAAATCTTGAAAGGTAATATATACTCAAAACACTGATACATGCTTCATTTTAAGATTTTTTTGTTTTGGAATAACCACCATGAATCAGGCAAGCCAGAGATTCCTGAACTAAGAATGAGGCTTCTTCCCTCACTCGTGAAAAAGGCATAACAGTTCCAAATGGCTTAGCCTAAGCATCAATTCTGGAGACATCAACATATCAAAATGATATTAAATGAAGTAATTCTGAAATCAGCAACATAATTTTTTTCCTGCAAGTCCTGGAATTCTAGCAGGTGAGCATGAAGCAAGACAGGACTCATTGCCAAATTCTGAAAGTAAAATGACGCTTGACCGAATTGAGTTGTCTGTTTCAAAACCACCTAAGCAGAACACATTCTGTGGTAAATGACTTTATTAAACAGAAAAATCACTTTCAGTTGTCTAAGTGTAACAGGCTGTTTTATTACCTTCTACCACCTCCATTTCTTCTGTATCTTCCTCCTCTTCATTCTGTGCAACATTGATGACTGCAAGAACAGAATGTATATTACAAACCTAATACTAGACACTGGGGTTTAAAAAAATTAATAAAATACAATCTTGCTGGCTGCTGTTATGTTGAATCCAGCACCTGTTTCTTACCTGGCTTTTCCATTGTTTGTGGAATAATGCCACTTTTATCTTTGATAGGAAGCAGGTGAATAAGTTCTTTTTCTGGCTCAGTCTGCATGCACCTTGGCATTTTCTCATATCTGTCAATCACGCTTTCCTGTTTTCGTTTCTTAGCATGAACAGGTTCACTGTATAGTGCAAGACAGACTATTCAATTCATCAACAAATCAGATATTAACTGTAAATTCAAAGTACACTGTCAAAATTAACTTCCTACACCTAAAAAAAATAAAATGAAATAAAGTCATGCAGTACATCATGAACCAGAACATTTGAGTGAGTTTCAGTGTCAGTTTCAGTTGCCTCTCCAGTTATTCACTGTTCTATGAATAAAAATGAACAAAAAAATCCACCCTCCCATTCACCTCCAAAGTTTAGTAAACTTAGATATGAAATCATGGTGGCTTAGTTAACCTAGTAAAAGAATGCACTATAAAACTCATAACCAAACACTTTACTTGAAAGTTACAAGTAAAAGTCAGTCAGTCATGTTATTTTGTGAATGTCAGCATTATTACACTGGCCCCTAAGCTGGTTTCTAAGGGTTGGTAATCAAAATCCATTTAAAAAAAACAAACAAAAACATTTAATTAAGTGGTGCAACCCCTTAGCATTGACAAGTGTTTATTTGTTTAGCTGCTGACAATCTACACCAAAACAAACATTCTTAAGCCAATATAAATGGGTTCATACTGGGGGGTTCCACGTACAACTGCAAAAACTTATGTGTAAGTAAGTCTTAATAGAGGAATGAAATGCCCATTAGATGAACTGTCAAAACCTAATTAGTGTGGCTACTATCAGTCAAGGTGCCTTGGGCCAAACGTAGTAGGCTGTGCAAAAGAGAGCAGTAGAAAGAGGCCTCACTATCATAAGATCTGCCATAGCAAACAGACCAGTGTCCTAGTTTTAGTCTGATGTGCCATCTTCTTTTACAGGCTGTCATAACTTAGTTTGTTTTCATTAAGTTCAGACTCTTAACCTGTATATGTTTATATGTGACTACACAAATCTTTGTTTTGTAAATAATAGGTAACCATCATAAGGTCAGGCAGGCGGATTAGGCATTGCAATGCCTAATTTTTAGGCACTGAGAAAATCAATGGAACAGCAGCAGGATCCACAAAGCCTGAGATGGCGGCCTAGGGAATGCATGGGAAGAAATAGGTGCCTGAGAATACAAACCACAAAAGCCAGCAAGCTAGGCGGGGAGTTGCCTAAACTAACCAATGGGAGATGCCAGCGAGAGGGGTATGTCCTCAGCCCTGCCCCTCTCACAGTTAGGCACCTAAGTCAGGACTGCAGGGAGGTGCCTATATGTGTTTGCAATGCACAGCGAGGAACCCCTCTTCTGAAGTCAGGCAGCTTAGGCACCTAAGCTGTTTCTTGTGGGAAGTGCCTAACTCCATGCCTAACAATCAGAGGAGGTGACGCCACTGTTACCTACCTTATAACTTTAGCCTAGTGGTTAGAGCACTCTCCTGGGATGTGGGACACCTGGATTCAATTACCTCCTCTGCCTGATAAGGAAGAATTTGAAAAGGAGTCTCCCACCTCTTTGGAGAGTGTTCTATCCACTGGGCTATGGGATATTCTGATGTGGGGCTCCCTCACTCTCTCCTGTTGAAGCTGTTCCACTTTCAATAAATAATTTCATGAGAGCAGGGGGACTGGACCTTGCAACTCCCATCTCCCAGACTACAGAGTCTCTCACTCGTTTTCTCTGGCCCAAGTCCTTTAATTAATCATTGGGCTAAAAACTTATAAGGGAGGCACAACCACCTCCAGCTCTGTCCAGATTTTGAATGGGGCCTGATCCAGTAGATATGCTCAGAGCACTGAACTAAGCGCTGTAGTTAAAATAGGCACCATTCCCCCAGTTTATGGATCACACTGGCGCTTAGGCAAGAGATGGACACCGTAGCACCAAGAGTGGGGCGGCAACAGACACGCCCAGAAGCAGAAATTAAAGCTCCTAGAGAACTTTTACAGCAAAACTTTAGGCACTGATGTAGGTGCCTACAGGGTTACAATGGCAGCTGAGTGAGGATTTTGTGGGTTGTAGTGGAGTTTACAACTGGAACTTAGGTGCCTAAAGTCCCTCTGTGGATCTTGGCCATAGTGGCTACAATGCAGATGTTTCTGTGAACTTTTCACAATAGATAAGAATAAAAGGCAGAAGAATAGGGGATTTTTTTAAAATTGGAAAATGCTACATTGTGTGCTTTAGAAGACAATATGAAAGTAACAAAAATTTGCCACAGTAGCTAATTTTCAAATGTTTATCTCAACAATTTAAAAATGTCTTTTTAAAATGAAAAGAAACTAGGTCAAACTAAAAGATCTATAGTTTGCACAATTTCATTCAATAAATACACATGTTTAGAGTTTTCTATGTTAGCTGTTCTGTAACAAAGCTGGAAACCAAGCTGTGTTTTAAAAATAAAATTGTATCTTAGCTAACGACTTGTAGACCAGCTACAGCATTTTACATAACATGACATAATGCAGGAGAGCTGTAACTCTGTACGTCAAAAATTATTTTTTAGTACGTTTCAGACACTGGTCTACATTACTGATTAATAGTTTATAAAACTTAACAAAATCATTTGAATTAGGGTTAGCATAAATAAGTGTTGGAAGCAGAAAGTTACTTCCTCCTTTTAAAAAGCCAAAATTAATTCCAAATCACTATTTTTTTTTAAAAAGAAAGTCCTCTGAGCTGATACTTTCTATGTCAAGTGAAGCAATTTTTTTTAATAACCCATTAAACAGAAAAGTTTAGTTTATACTGGAAATTAGAACAAACTATTAACTTCACAGCTCCCATGGTCATGGCATTTCCTACCTGTTGCCAAAGGATATTGTTAAGAAATAAAGAAAAGACACTATAATTCTGCTCCTCTGTACGACTGAGAATCCTGCAGCGACCATATTTCAGGAAATGGAAAATTACGCTATAATTCTATTTCTCTGGCGATATCACCTTCCAAAACTTTCACTCACCCATCTGCTCTCCCCCACACAAATGTTGCAGATACTTTTTTTCCCTCCCTTCGTATCTGCATATGAAGTTTATTATCATTGCATTTAAGGCACAATATTTTTCAAACTATTCTGATAATTGGCTTAACACTGCAGGGAAAGTCTTTGTATCCAGTTCAATTGGGAACCAACCTGAATGTTCATAGGACAGTGGCTGCAAGTCCAGGGAAACATGTGACTAGTTTGGTTCCTTCTCCCTAGCTGCTACCACTGCGTGTAGGAACCAAAAAACATCTTGAGCTTTGGGGATTCCATCTACCTCACATTAGGGAGCTGAGACAGGAGTGAAAATTGTGCAGACAAGGTATCTTAGGAGAAAGTAATTTCCCAGCATTAGAGGGTTGCTACAGTAGTGTTGATGATTGTGTTAATAGAAAAATGTGTGACTAGAACAAGTAAAGTCTAAAATTGGAAGCATTATTAACCTCACTACAGTTTATGGACTGTAAGGGTACATGAGAATACTTACCTAGAAGAAAGGTCTCTTGTTACAAATGATGCTTTTTGAGCTAAATCTTCCATTAATTTCATGTCATCTTCATCCATCATATCCAGTGGAAGAGCTTCCTCTTCCTCCTCTTCCTCCTTTCTTTCAGCTGTATCAGACGACAATGGACAGACTTGTGAGCCACTGCACTTGAAAATACTTGAAACTTGAAAATACACTTTTCCTGTATTTGTCAATCTTCTCAGCTCCACACTCCAACCCCAATCCTACAAACACACATGCTGAACTTTACTCCTGTGACTACACCCATTCACAATAGTAGGACTATTCCTACGAGTAAAGTCACTCACATTCATAAGTATTTGCAAAATCAGGGCCTTAAGTCTTCCTGGCTCCACAACCATTATCTAGATAATAAAAAAGGACCTCATCAATGTCAGTAGGCCAAATAAACTTGACTTTGAAGAATAGTCCCATCTAAAAGGATTTAGTTTGGGGCAGTCATGCCCAAATAATTCTTTCCTTCATATTTCTAGTGTTGGAAAGGTGTTTTTGTTCTCCTTTTAAAGAAAAAGAAGATAAAAACTAGTATATGTGCATTCTGCATCATACCACGTGCAAGCTCCATCATCAAGGAATCTATGTGAACATTTTTGACATGTTTAATTGATATGTGGGCTTGTTCTAAAAAGACAGAATAGTTAGGAATTCAGGTTCAAAATAGCTTTTGAGTCTGAGTCTATAGGAATGTACAAACTTGACAGTTGGAAAAACAACAGGCTCAGGATCTAGTTTGGAACAGGAGACAAGAAAGTGAGCAGTGCAGTTACCAAATATAATACTGAACATAAATTGGTCCAGAGAATAATCTATGCAGGCACTCTTGAGGATAAAAGAAAATTCAGAGACGTCAGGAATAAAAAGAAGTGATTGTGTGAATACTAAGCGTAAGTTTGTCTTTACAATGGGAAACTCTGATGTCATACTTTTCCTGTAGTCCATTTTGTAAGCACTGTATACTGTTTACTCTTGCATAAAAAATAATGTAAGCATTATTACAATTTTCTCACTACACTCCATGCATGTAACCCTTTGATGCAGTAGCAAAGAACTGACTGATAATAATCTACAAAAAGGAAAATCAAGACTCAAGCATCTGTACATATTCTCTAATGGCAGTATCAGAATAAAGAACAAATTTGTAACTTGTAATTTGTAACAGAATAAAGAACAAATTTGGGTTCAGTTCTGGTTTTACTAGATGTAAATTACAATGTTATGCTTACCTCTCATCCCTCATCTATGCAAAATAGATCAGAACCCTTGCTAAATTCACTACCTGACACAAGCAAACACTCACCTGCATGTTTTTTCTTGAATTCCTCCAATGGAACAGATGTTCTGGATGTAACATCTTTGACAGCTTGCCTAAGTTTTCTTTGCTCTTTTCGATATTTCTTAGCAATGCTCTGCTGCTTAAACTGTTTATTCTTTAACTTGTTGTCAAGTTTTACTTTACTAGTTTTCAGCAACTTGCGAAAGCTTGGAACTCGTTTTTTATTTTTTCTCTGGAAACCAACAGAAAACTTCAGTTAACTGAAGATTCATGTTTATTTTTGTAAAAAACAAAAACAAAAAAAACACTAAATTTAAGTGAAAGATTTAAACCAGACATGCTAACACCCACTAACACCCATGCTGGATAACAAATTTCTTGTGAACAGATTTCTGTGTTTAGGTTTAAAGTATACCCAATTCCTAATTAGTGAAATTAATTGTATTAAGCAGAATAACCTGGAAACAAATGGGCCAAAGATTTTACAGAAACATTTCTGAACAATCCTAGTTCTATAAATATCCAGCACAGAAAGCAATGCAATTTAAATACAGTCCTATAGCACATATTTAGCCTCCCCTCGTTTAGGAAGCATTATTAGGAAAGTGGTGATGGGACAGCTCCAGCAACACTTGACAGTCAGACTACCTCTGCCCCCATTATTCTGGTTCCCAACATGGATACAGAAATGTGATCATAATGAGATTTCTTTGATCTGTTCCTAGGATAAGCTGTACAGCAGGGGTCGGCAACCTCCAGCACGCGGCTCGCCAGGGTAAGCCCCCTGAGGGGGCCAGGCCGGTTTGTTTACCTGCCATGTCTGCAGGTTCGGCCGATCGTGGCTCCTACTGGCCGCGGTTTGCCGCGCCAGGCCAATGGGGGCGGGAGGAAGAGGCGGCCAGCACGTCCCTCGGCCTACGGTGCTTCCCGCAGCCTCCATTGCCCTGGGACGGCGAACCACAGCCAGTGGGAGCCGCGATCGGCTGAACCTGCGGACACAGCAGGTAAACAAACCGGCCCGGCCCGCCAGGGGACTTACCCTGGCGAGCCACAAGCCAAAGGTTGCCGATCCCTGCTGTACAGCATGCAGCACTAACGATGGAGACCTAGTTCATGACTAGGGCTCCCAAGTGCCATGGGAGTACAAATAATATCCCTGTTAATTTTATTATCAGCTATCTTTGAAGCCAATTTCCATAAGATATCACGGATCCGCTTCTGAGATATCTGTAGCAGTGATGAAGTGAACATTTCAAAAGGTGCCGGCCTTGCTCCCAAAGAGGTATAAGAAGGCAGAGGAGTAACTGGACAGCGCTGCCTCTTCACAAGGGCTTTCCACATAATTCACAGTCCTCGTCTATCGCCTCACCCTTCCTCTCAGCACCGGGCCTGCGGTGCTGTGTGCGCGCCCCGGTGCTGCTGATGGGGACAAGGCAGCGCAGAGACAGGGAGCTTTGGCTGGCATCAGTCTCTCTCCGCTCCACTCCCGGGCCCGCCTTGCAGAGGCTGCGCAGGCCTCGGCGGCACTGCCCGGCACGGCCCTCCCCTTCACAGCGCCTTGTGCCCCCCGGCTCCGAGCTCCACACAGCCACAGCCCCCCCTCCCCTGCCCCGGCTCTCCCCCACAGGGCCCCGCTTCCCCCACGACGCCGAGCCCTTACCCTAGCCCCACACTCCCTCACAGGACTCTCCCACCGCCAGCCGCCCTCCCCTGGCCCGACTCTCCACCCCAGGGCCCCGTTTCCCGGCGCGGCGCGGCCCGGCCCTTCCCCTCACAGCGCCGTGCCCCCCATAGCACTTCTCAGTGCCCCAGCCCCCCACTGCCCCGCAGACAGAGCCCGACCCAGGGCCCCTCACCGGCTTCATTGCGGCGGCTCTAGGGGTCCCGGACACACGTGGCCGCAGACCGCTGCGCAGGCCCGGAAGCGCGGGGCGGGGCTGTGCTGTGCTGTGCTGCCTCACAGCGGCCTCTAGCGGCTGAAAGCGAGCACGGACCCCGGACGGCGACCGCTCAGGCTGTGTTTGGCCGCGCGCCACCTAGCCCGGGGCCGTGTGTGCCCCCGCCCCACCCCCAGCTCGGCCTCACCCCTGCCGCGGGCACAGGGGCCCCGCCCCAGCCCTAGAGTCGCCCTACTCCATTCCAACCCCGCTGGGGCTGCAGCAGCCTGCGTTAAAGGGCCCGGGGCCCCGCCTGCACCCCGACACGTGAAGCAACAGCTGCAGGAGTAGCCCTTGAAATACTAGTCCAGACACTGCGTGAGGTGCTGTTTTGCTGAAAATGTGAAAACCACTCTCAGGCTTGTCTCGCCATGGACTTATGCCTGGTTAGCTGCATGTGTGGAGACTACATGGACGCAAGAGAGTTAATCAGGAACAACTCCATATAAAGACAAGTCATTGCTGAGTTCCAGGTGTCCGGTTTTTGACCAACCAGAAAAATATTTACTGGTGTTAGAGAACCTGCCCCTCTCACCCAGGGATGCTGAAACAATTTGTATAGTGGGGGTGCTGAAGCCATTGAACCAAAGTGTAAACCCTGTGTATAATAGAAACCATATCACACCAGCACCTATGCCCTCACCCTCCTAAGTCATGCCCTAAACCAAAATGACAAGGAGAAACAGAAATCAACATCCCTAACCCGTAACTTTCTGGCAAGACTTGAAAGCACCCACTTCTGTATAGTAGCTAGATCACCTACTTACACTCCTGTTCACACAGCATGAAACCAACTTCTTTTGAAAGCTGTTTCACATGAATTTGAAACAAGTCATAGTGGCCCACTTGGGCAACTTTCAAAACTGGCTGAAGTTAGAATGATCTGTCCCCAACATAAAGCATCAATGAAACAGTTAGCTAAAGACTATTTCATTTGTTTTCCTACATGGGTTGTTTGGATGTCCCTGAAAAGGTTTGTTACATTTCTGTGAAATTGTGTTGTCCTAGTTTGTTTTGCACCAACACCACTAGTTTTATGGAGTACCATTCTTTAGCCTCCATTAAGTCTGACTCTTCTACCCCTCCACAATCCATATGCTTATTACCACAGCAACTAGGCTTCCTGTGAGGAAGGCCGAACCCTTTAGCTTCCCCAGACTGGTATAATATCATTCCCCGTTACTGATGGCCTAGCTAATATAGGTTGGCACTTGGTACCATGTACATTGTTCCTCTAATTAAGAAGAGCTGAGAGAAAGCCAACAGGACTTGGCTCTTCCAAACAGTTGGATGAATGCCTTTGCTGTTCCTAAGACAGAAGTGAACTGACAACTAATACCCTAGCTAAAGTCCTAAGGTAAAGCAGCAAATACTGAAATCATTTATTATTCTATACACACTCCACCACACCACATCATGGGATTATTTGCATAACTGTCACAGGTATACTCACTGATATTTGGCAAATTAAGGACCAAGGTCTGGCAGAAGCAGAGATAGTTTCCAGCTCATATCCTTTTTGAAAATTAAGCTACAAATTGAAGGAACTAACAAATTGTAATGTAATACTTTACATGTTGATCACAAGAAGCCTGGACAGAATTTCAAGAGCTTATCGTCTGAATGCATGTTTAGGGACATGAGGTTTTGACATCAGTGAAGCAAGAGAAACAGTAGAGCATTTTGTCTATCAGCAACTTACAATTGGAGGCTGAGCACAGACTACTCCCCACCCCCCTGTCTTCTGAAACACCAAAAAAATGTGTTATATGAAGCACTCTCATATCCTCATTCTATAGTAAATACTTATATGGCTCCCATCAGCACCATGTCGGAGCACCTAACAGTCTTTAATGTATTTGTCCTCACTACAGGTCCCCAAGTCCTAGGCAGCTACCCTAGCCACTGGACCATCCTACTTCCCCCCCCCCTTTATTTTTAAATTTAAATAATGCATAAGCATTGGTGTGAGTTGTAACGCAGAACCATTTTTTTGTTTTGGATTTTCATTGAGCATAGTTATTAGTAGGTGCTTCATGAAAGCATCTCTAAGGATAGGACAAGAAGCAATGAGCTTAAATTGCAGCAAAGGAGGTTTAGGTTGGACATTAGGAAAACATTCCTCTCAGGGTGGTAAAGCACTGGAATAAATTGCCTAGGGAGGTTGTGGAATCTCAAACATTGGAGATTTTTTAAGAGCGGGTTAGACAAATACCGGTCAGGAATGGTCTAGAATAGGTAATACTTAGTCCTGCCATGAGTGCAGGGAACTGGACTAGATGACCTCTCAAGGTCCCTTTCAGTCCTATGATTCTATGAAAGCAATAGTAACCATTTCCAACGTGTGCTGGTTCTGGACCAATCCTTTCATTATATCCTTGATGATTAGACTGATCCTTTATTAGCATCTAACTTCAGCAGAAGAAAACCTAAAACTAGGGTGACCAGATAGCAAGTGTGAAAAATCAGGACACCTTTTTACAAGGGGGTGAGGGGACCATATAGTTGAGTATATAAGACAAAGACTAATATCAGGACATCTGGTCACCCTACCTGAAGCACATATGATATTACTGCTCACAATTCAGGTGTCTCCTATACCCAAATTACTATCCAATTAATGTTAACCACTTTATTGCCTGAATTGTAATACTGTCCTCTTCTGATCTATTGCCAGAGGAAAGGTCACCATCATACCTCTTCTGTCCAAATTTTCACTATTTCCCTGACGTAGAACAAGATTTGGTGATGATAGACTGATTTCCACCTCCTCCTCACACTATCAGAAAAGCAACCCCTTGTCAGAACAAATTCAACATGTGCCTTCGGATCAACAATGAAATAAGGAGTGACTCACTGAATACAAGTCAGTTTTTCCATCCCCTTGACTGTCCCTGGCAACACAGCTAACATGCCCATCTATTATCAAGGTGGCAAAATTCCCACCTTGACTCTGGCTCCATCAGTGACCCAAGGACAAGGACCCACATAGGGACATTCCCCACATCCCCAGCCTAGCTAACCAGCAAACCAGCACACTCAGATCAATATCAACTCATTTGTATTACAGTAGTACCCAAAAGGCACCACTATGCTGGGCACTGTACATATGTTAAATGGGATAGATCAGCAATTCTGGGAATCTATCAGCAACGCAGTACATCAAGCTCATCAATAAATACATTATTTCAATTTTCCTTACTACAAGAAAATCCTTTAGGTACAACTCTATCAGATTGAAAAGTTTTGCAAGAAGTTTTTTAGGCAAGAGTTTTCTCCTGTATTAAAGAAGATGCCCCAAAAGTGAAAAGAGACTCAAGTACTTGTTCTGCTTATGAGTTTTATTTACACAGGATTGTTACTAGTGGTCTTAAATGAAGGCTAGATCCCTTCTATTTACAATTTTATATACATGTTTGTACTTGAAAAGTAAGAAAACTGTACAACAGAACTCCAAAACAAAATACAAATAAATTGGATCCAATTAAAGTAGTGAATACACATAAGAAAAAATCTCAGACATTTTAACTTTAAATTGTATGTTATGAGTAGTATATTTAAATGTAGTTTTAAACCAGATAGCAACATAAAAAGTTTCACCACACTAATTCAAATTTTTAACCAGAACAAGTTATGCAGACTCTGCTTTTAACACTGGACAACTGAAAAAACCTCCCAAATTTAAAAATATGTAATTATAAATCTGACTTCATTTCTACACAGAGGGACCAATTACAAAAATCACAGGAAAGCAATTTATTTACATTAAATACTATCAAAAATGGACTCAGAAAGAGCAAGTGTTAGCTACTTGCAGTATTATCCGTTTTCAATTTCTAATCCCTAAGATCGAACATTGTGTTTTACATATTTTAGAAACTAGGAAATATCTGCTTATGTGACATGTACCATATGATCTTACTTCTCATACAATTAAAAGAAAAAGAAAAGTATTGCCAAACAATATACTTTTGGGATTTTTTAGTATTGCACACCATAAAAGAAAGTTTCAAAAACTATTCCATCTGCATTTTTTTTCAGCATTTGTGTGTGGACTGAAATTTTTCGTATCAATGCTCCTGAAAACATACAGAGACTGTCTTCAGAAGATTGTTTTTAGTGTTTACCATCAAGCATAAAAATGAACCAATTTCTTTTATTAGTAATGGTTAAGCAAGATAAAAAACTGTTGGTGGCAAATAACTGTTAAAGGAAAATTAAGTGGATATTCCATGAAGTAGGCCGCACACCCAACACTTCAAAAAACAAATGATTGAAACCATCTGTTACCCATGCTAACTAGATTAAGAATTGTAGCAGCGGTATACCTACCCAGGCTACCATTATACTTTAATTTGCAGTGTACAAACACCTTTATAATACACTACAGATAATGGGCCTGATATTACCAGCATTTAAGTCAACTGGACTTTTGCTACTGATTTCATTTGTAGCAGGATTGGGCACAATATTTCCACGGTTCCTGAGTTAAATTTGCCTAAGCTGAAGAATGAAGCTACAATTTAAGCGAACTAAATAAGACATACCCCAATGCTTTATATTATCTGGTACACACATACCTAAACAAACTCATTTGGTCCACAATATTTCTTACTAGTTAATTGTGGAGGTAATATTTGTACCAGAGTGTTTGGTTCAGATAGCAGTTCTTGGGCCTTATTTAATATTTAACATTTTTATCACTCCCCCAAAAAAGTGCCTTTGTGGTATTTATAAAAAAATGTATGCCTAAATTTTTGTAAGTACCAACAAAAGTTATTACAAATGTTTATTGCATTAAGCAGATTCTTTTTAAATATTAAATATGTATTACCCACTTCTCAGTTTCACAAGTTTTAGTATTTTGCTCTCTGTGAAAACAATTCTTCCCACAAAAAGCTACTTAATACTGGCAACAGGGTGAAGATTTCATCAATTTCTGC